ACAAAGGCTAAGGGTTCTCTCCGTCCCTTGTCTTGCTTCAAATGCTTCATGGAAACCAAGATGTTAACCCTAACAGCCCTCAGTCCTTCACCTATTGGGGGACTGAGGACTGTTAGGGTTAAATGATCACTAGTGTCATGATTGAGTGAACATGTAAAGCCAATTATTAAAAAAAATAAAAGGCACATTAAAATGTGACACATGGAGTAATAGGCCCGAAAGATCGTTCAGGGCAGTTTTAGAAACAAAAATTCAGGCTTTCTCATTATTATGTACAGCTTTGAATGGATGCGATCTGCGTAATTGTCAAAATAATGCAACGTGTCACCCAGTGGGCCTGACTAACTACCGGTGTGAATGTCTGCCGGGATTCGTTGGAAGAAACTGCGACTCGGGTAAGAAAAGATATAAGTCACAGTTCCTCTTCCTAACTTTGACCTGGAATATTACGCACCTCATGAAGACCCGCTACATAAACGCGAACAAAAAATAAACCTGTATAGATTTTGTACTTTAACTTGAGAAAGCAAAACATATTTAGGCCTTGTTGATCGAGGGTTCATTCTTATAAAAACAGAGAAATAACGAACCTAGTTATTATTAATGATGCACTGTTTTAATTTCCTTGTTCTGAAAAATTTATTGCTTAGTGCCATTCAAACGAAGTGTTTTAGTTTGATTTTGCCATTTGCCACACATACGTACACTTCAAGTGCATGATCTTTAATTTTTTAAAGACATAAAAATTGCCTCAGCCCCTAACAAATCCCAAATCCCACATTTGGCTGCACGAAGCATTCCGCTGTATAGAACAGTCGGGTCACTGGTAGCAACGCTATGCTTCATCCAAATTTTCGGATATGGCTTTAACCTTTCCCCTACATGCTTCTTTTTATCAAAACTAATGATCGGTTAAATGAGGTTTTACCTTGCTGTCCTGTTTGAATTCTAGTTCCAGAGTACTTCAACATTACTGGAAACGAGACAGTGGAAATAATTTCACCGAACTTTCCCGACGCATACCCAAATTACTACGACAATGTGTGGATCATCCAAACGGACGAAGACGAGAAAGTCCGGATACGATTTGTCGAATTTGGGACAGAACTTGGATACGATTTCTTCCAGGTTGGCGACGGCACAGATTATCTGAACACCGTTACTCGCTTCTTAATATGGAGTGGGACGCTGAAACAACCCCCGACATATTTGCTATCCAGAGAGAATGCAGCCTGGATACGATTCACGTCCGATATTTTCGTAGTTGAAAGTGGCTTCAAGCTTTTCGTTTCAAGCGTTCCCTCAACAGGTACTGATTAATAATATGTACTGTTGACAGTCTGTATAGCATTATATGTAAGAAAATAAATTTCAGTTGATCATGTTGTAGTTGCTACAATTCACTGAGAATATGTTAACGATTTTTTCCCCTTGCTTTAAATGTGAAGATACAATCGATTGTTAAATTTTGCAAAAGTTTCGTTGTTATTTGTGTTTGGGTACATCAGCGCACTGTAAACCATAGTCCAAGGATACTTGCATTTTTCTTGTCCAAATTTGCAAAAGTTATTACAAAGAAATTTCATTAATGCGATTGTCTACAAAATTTTGTGTTAAATTAGACTTGGGGTTGACCAATATGCATTTTATAGTTTGACCAGTGAGGGATGAACATAACCTTCAAGGTATTTAATGACGAAATTTGATGGGAAAATAACAGTTTAATGTAAATCCGCACCTTGAAAAAAGAAAAGAGACCCAAACTAACAAACACCCCCCCCGAAAAGAAAAACACCGTGACGCACACAACGTAAACATGTTTCACAATAGTCATTTAATTTTTTATTATAGGGATTAATATGTACTATTACGTCGGTGTAATTCAGGCTTGTGGAAACATTCACTTACACCATACATACTTGTAATTTTATTCATTTTCTGTGTTAAAACAGATGTGTTGAGCTGCACCGTCGACGAATTCGACTGTGGCCAGTCGGTATGCATAAATGCCGCGTGGAGGTGTGACAGGTCGGCAGAGTGTGTGGACACGAGTGACGAATTTTTATGCGGTAAGTTTCGATCATTAATTAATTAGCAGTGCAACAAGCACAAAGACTAGGAGTCACCCCCCCAAAAAACGGGCTATCGCGAATGTATTGCTCTATCTACAGTTTCCATGAAATCGGGACATAAGATGTTGCAACAGGCTGAAGTTAGTGACTTTGCAGGGCAGGTCAATCTGATTATTGCCGTTTGAACGTGATCAGAATGTATGTTTTTAATTTCTTTTGTAAATACAGGCTGTGTCGCCGACCCCTGCTTAAACAATGGAACTTGCCAACCTGTGTCCTTCTACGGTTTTCAGTGTGCGTGCCCAAGTGATTTATACGGGCAGATGTGCGAGATAGGTAAACTTATTTTCTCGATCAACCCAATGTTTTTTGTAAAGTGAAATTAATTTGTAGCCAGGGATGTATCTTTTCCCACGAGTAAAGGTGCCTTTCCATATATATACTTTTTGGGGTGCGTTGCGTACACGATGCGTTCACGCGTTACACTTTCACGAACACAGAAATCGACACGCGTGTGTTGCGTTCGGCCGAAACGCAGCGCTTGGCGCAAGTGTTGACGGGCAAATGGAAAGGCGCCTTTACTGATATGACGCCATGAATAACTTTTGTTCAACGACTGCATTAACTCTTGCATTTTTCCACAATGCATGTTGCAACAGTACCTTTTCAGTAATTTTAGCTAAGCTTCGGTGTCGGCGGGACATTGATTTTTAGGACTTCCAGAAATTGCATAATTGGAAAAAAATACTCCAGGCACTAAGATCGAGAAAACAGTTGAGAATTCTTGACTTCTCAAATTCAGTTCTTCATCCTTCTTCTAACGTAACTCACATCGTAAACACCAGGTGAACTTCTAACAGCAACCAAGAAAATCAAAGGAAAGACCCAAGGCAAAAAAGGCCAAAATATTCATCTTAGTGCAGATCAAATTAAAAAGAAGAAGTAGCAGATGGAATTGTTCATCTTTACACTGGAAGTTGCTTTCTTGAAGAGGAACACCCAATTCAAAAGGACCAGAAAACTGCCAAGAATACACATTTGGCGAAGATCCAATTCCGATCAAGAAATCCTTACCAAGGAATGTTCATTTTTTGTGTCGGACGTTACATTTTTCTCACTATGCTTCAATCCCCACCTTTAGTCCCAGAGAGGCTGGCTGTTTTCCTCGACGCAGGGGAAGAAACTCAAATACAATCACCGAACTACTCAGACAACTACCCGACAAGCATTGACGTAACCTGGACCATCGAAACAGTAGAAGGCCATCGGATTCTCCTTAACTTTTCGAGTTTTGACACAGAGGTGTCTTTCGACTTTGTGAGGGTCTCAGATGGAGGCGGCGAAGATGGAAACAGTACCGAGTTTTTTGTTTGGAGTGGAAGAAAGAGGGCACCAGCTTTACTTTCAAACGGAAAAACAGTTGTGCTCAGATTTACATCAGACCAGCTGGTCACTCAAAGCGGTTTTTCTGTGACAGCCAGCAGCGTTTCGTCGAACGGTGAGCAAACACAATATGCAAACTTGCACTTTCATTTTTAAAGGCCACTTCAAAATATAAGGGTAACAAGAGGAATTCGAGGTCAAATTGAAAGTGTGTTCGGCTTTTTGTCTTCACATCACATAATTCGCAGAGCATAAATCGGTCAGAAAAGGGGTCGGCAACTCATACATGAATGTAAACAATATTATAATCTGGACTCTTTTGTAAATGCAAAAGTTTCATTTAGTTCGTTTTTAACTTATCCCTCAGTCCTTCAAGTTGTACTTTGAAGACCTGTGTATATTTATTGCTTTTCATCTGAGGCAGATTTCTTTTATGCGGACTAAATAATTTATTTTTGAGTTTTGCCCTGCCCGACGTATATTTTAACACTTTATACTTTGATTATGCCCCCGAAAGGCTTGTGAAAAAAACCACAAGCATACTCGGGTGGGACTCGAACCCACGACTCCTTGCTTACTAGTGCAGACGTGTTAACCACTCGACCACCGAGCTTGCCGGTGTAGGCTGGCTGGTTCAAATCAGATGTAGCACGGGGTACCGCGAACAACTATTTCAGAGATGGATTTGCGCCGGGGAGATGTAAATTAATTTTGGATTTTTTCCCTGCTCCATGTCGGGCAGAACAAAAATCCAAAATCAATTTACATCCATCTTTGAAGTAGACTAAATAATTACTTTGTTGTCCTTGGTTCCTTTCCAGTGACTTTGAACTGTTCTGCCGACGAGTTTGACTGTGGACAGTCGGTCTGCATCGACAGCACCTGGCAGTGTGACTACCAGGCAGACTGCCTGAATGAGTCCGATGAGGACGGTTGCGGTAAGTCTTAATAAACCGCCAATTATCTTTCGCACATTTTGCCTTTGCCTTTTGCATCTGAAAAAGATGACACCTTAATGCCTCATTTGAAGGGCCAAACACCTCTGCGTGCTTTTTCGTCACTTTGAGTTTGGTCGTTGGGCAAGAATTAGACCTGAAAAATGAAACAGCGGGGACACAGCCTCATTTTTTGTCTAGAATCCTGGGCTTATATTTTGCAGGCCTATACACATCCATGTATCAAGGGGGCGGTGTTCAAGTGTAGTTGAAGTATACCGTCAGTATTCGAAAGTAATTGTCAGTGTGGTCTTGGTGCTTAATTATGTTTGTTTCGTGATGGAGCACAGCATTGACTTACGGAATTGAAATTTTGTTTAATTAAATCTGTTCCCAACAAACTTGATCATTTATCGCAGGTGGGAATTCTATATTCGTTGATGAAAATGAAACAGTCCGTCTAGCCTCGCCTGCTTATCCAAACGACTATCCAGACAATCTGGACCTCTCTTGGGTCATCCAGACGACAGAAGAACGGAGGATTCTCATCTCCTTTCAAAGCTTTGTCACGGAAGCCGCAGCCGATTTCCTGACAGCAGGGGACGGTGGCGACAGCGGGGACGAAGATACCGTCTTCTTTGCCTGGAGCGGAGGCAAGACGCCACCTCAGCTGTTATCCAGTCACCAGGTGATGTGGCTTAAATTTGTCACAAATTCAGCGACGACAAAAAGGGGCTGGTCGTTATCTGCCGTCAGTGTGCCGTCCAATGGTGAGTTTTTTGTAATCTGTCATCACAGACTTTTAAAGATTACACTGCAATTTTTTTTATTGTAGGTCAACAAGAAAATACTTTTAATCATACAAGGAATATATTGGCAACTAGTGCTATTTGACCAGTTCTTGAATGAAACGAGAGAAATTCTTCTCTTGCATTATTTTGAAATTTCTGGGTGCTCGCTGATGTGATGAACTGGACCGAAATATTGCTTTATGTCCCAGTCTGATGGCATCAAGAATTCAAAGGTTGTTTCAGTCGACTTAGGCCCAAAATGAACATTTTTAGTTAAAATGAATCATTTGTGTCTGGTACCCTGACAAACTGGAATACATTTACACTTTGTCTGTGCGGTATACATAATTATTTTGTGGTTGGGTACCACGATGAGCAATATCCAACGGCTAGGAGAAATCTAAATCTTGTGCTTGAGGATCCGCAGCCAAATACTGACCACACCCACGTTGCCTTGGTTACTGATGCAGAATCACTAGTCTGCCCTCCGGGTACAACTGACTGCGGACATTCTGTGTGCGGTACTCCTTGTAACGTTCAACGGGACTGCGTGGACGGGAGAGACGAGTCGAATTGCGGTATAAGCTCAAAAGTTGTTCCTTTTTACTAAACCAAACTTCCGTGTATTAAAATTGAAGCTGTTTTCACGTCATGTTGCATACTTCCCCAACTTGTCCAAAAATATAAATTCTTTTCCAAGCAAATTTTAAGAAATGCCCAAAAAACTGTCCTGAAGACAACATTTAATGGGGTCGAAGTCTTGCATCTAATGAAGGATAAACTTTTAAAACAATAGCAAACCAGCATTAATATAGGAAGATTTGAAATCCGATGTATATAGAGGAAGTTCGGTGTAAATATTGAGCTGTTACAAGAGCTGCCACGTGTTCGTAAACACATCTTGTTTGTCTGCTTTTGCAGATGGACAGTTCGACGTGTACGTGACTGGGGAATCCGAGGTGATAACTTCACCTTTGTTTCCGGGGTACTACCCCAACAACATTGACTTCACGTGGTTCCTTCGGACGGACCCTGACAAGAAGATCTCCATCACGTTCTCGGCTTTCAGCACCGAAGCAGAGGTTGATTTGTTCCGTGTAGGAGACGGGGTCGTCAGTGAAAACTACACAGGCATGTTTCTCAGTTGGTCTGGTGCCTATGTACCACCTACCTTATTGTCAAGCAGCAATGAAATGTGGTTGAAGTTTGAAACCGACGGAGGCTTCATTCAACGTGGGTGGTCCATCACGGTTACCAGTGTGCCGGATACCAGTAAGCAACATTCAATGCCCTACTTTTTCCAACTGCTTTTCATTGGCTTCGTCTTCGGCCCTTCTAATCTTTTCTGACACAAAAACCTAGGCCATACCTTTTTTCTCATACTGCTGAATGAAGTATTGAGCTCACTTTCTTCTTTGACATTTTCCTCTTCGCAGGTGAGCTGACCTGTCCCCCGATGACTCATGACTGTGGACACTCAGTCTGCATAGAACCACGTCGGTCATTTTGTGACGGAGTGACCCATTGCCTTGACGGCACCGATGAAGTAAATTGCGGTGGGTAAACAATATTAAGGCGTGTGGTTTAAAAGTGATCAGTGGGGTTACATGCACCGTAGACTCCGCTTCCGAGACGGAAGAGAAAACCCCCTTTCAAATCCCAGTGAAGCCTAAAAAAAAGTGGACTGGGTTTTCAGACATTATACTTGAGACAATATTCAGATATTCAGAATATTCAGACAAAACTGAAGACTCCCCACCTTGCCTGCAAGACTAATTTTCTGGATTGCCCCCGGCCTTCAGCCTACTCTTTGAAGAAATTCGTGGTTGAAAAGCCTGAAAAAGTGTAAGTAAACAGCCGGTGTTCAGCCAACAGGCGGTCATCTTACCCTATTTTCAACGTGGTCTATTCACTTCAAAAAATTTGTTTCGCATAGGTTGCATTGGTGGCCCCTGTCAAAACAACGGGACCTGCCATGCATTGACGGGCTTTAATTTCTTCTGTGAATGTCCAGAGGATTTTGCTGGAACACTTTGCGAAACAGGTAACCGATAATTAATTGGTCCATTTCATATTATAATGTAGTATGGAGAAACGTACATGGCCCTTTCTTGGGTAGCAAAGATACGTTTCTTTTTCCTGATTTTGTGCAGTTATATAATTGGCAAACATGCATATAAGTCTGATTGTGAGAGCCCTTTGAAAATGACAAACTCGAAGTACCGACATACCGTTTTAGTACTTTTATGCACGGTTTATGTTTTAAAGGGTAGCTGCAATCAATGATTTTGACTACAGACCTGTAAAATGCACCTTTGTGCCTCGGTAAAATTTATTTTGAACTTGATGGTTTCACTATTTGACAGGGTAATTTAACGCCTTTTGGGGTTTTATGCTGAGTATTTCCATATTCATGAGGAAAACTGTGATGTCATCTCAGGAAGAAGCCTGAATGTTACATTGGTTTGTATGCAAAAAAGTCTTGCGTTTTTGTAGGTTTTCCTGCACTAAGTTTTCTCTTCTTAGCTGAATCGTTGTTGTTGATGTGCATAGCAATAAGAAACATTCAACCCTTCTTTCAAAAAGTTTTCAGTTAGTAAATTGTGGGTTCACAAATACTTTTACAATACAACACAAATACCTATGCCCTGAGCCATGTTTTCCTTAGATGACCTCACAGCAACAGCGCCCCGAATTGTCCAAGAAATAATGGATAATTTTGATTGTTTAAATGTGTGCATTTTTCAGTGCATTTAACCAAATAGGAGTGTGGATGAGTTTTCCTGCATTGAAGAAAAGTACAAAGATGCAGAAAAATTCATTGCAGCTACACTTTAAAAGACAACAATGCCTTTCTGCCATCCCAACTTTGTAATTAAAGCTCAGTTACTATTCTAATTTTAAATTGATGAAATCATATTTGATGTAGAAATCTCTTTATATGTTTTTTACTTCAGTCCCAGAGAACATTTTCGTTGATTCGAACGAAACGAAGGAAATTACCTCCCCTAACTTTCCAAACGGTTACCCCAACAATGCCTTTGCTGTTTGGGTAGTCCACACATCAGAAAACAGAAAATTGCGAGCGGAGTTCGCAAATTTCAGCACAGAGTACAGTTACGATGTGGTCAGTGTTGGGGATGGTGCCGACTCGACACTCGCATCGACCCGTTTCTTTTCGTGGAGTGGTTCCAAGACCCCGCCGGTTTTGCTTTCAAATGGAACCGTGGTGTGGATCACATTTTCCACGAGCCCCTTCAGCAGTCAGGATGGCTTTGTGATACATGTGACCAGTGTTGCATCGTCAGGTATAATTAAAGAAATATTTTGTGACTCTTTTTATGAAGCTATTCTGTGGAACTATCCAAAAATGTTTTGCGCTGCTTTGCAAGAATGATTATCCAGTAAGCCTAACTTCAGGGAAGCCCTTTGTCTAATTTAGAAATACTCCTGAGAAAGATTTATAGAAATTTAATTAAACAAGGGAATAAATGTGTTCTTGGCTGGTCTCAATCAAACGTGCATATAAGACTGGCTCACCAGAATGGACGCAACTATTAAATGCCCGAGTCGCAAGTATGTATTTATTCCCATTCATAAATTCCATTTTAGACAGAGAGTCAAAGGAAATCAACAATAAATTTCCTTTAATTTTGTTCAAGAATAATACTTTCATTTCCCCGAACAATCCCCGTCCATTTGATGGTATTGCTTGTGCAAGTAATCCAGAAGAATCTCCTTATGTGGACTTGGGGCGCGCGTGGCGAGTTCCACACGCCGCCTGCTCACGAACTCTTGACCAATCGGAATCTATTAAACTGTCTCATATCCAGGTGCAAGCGCGGGCATTATCACATTGCAAAAGGCAGTATCAAATGTTAAAACACGGTCACGTGATGCGTTTCCACCAAAAGGAATATTAAAAGAAAAATATAAAAAACTATCCTAGGGATTTATAAATAATAGGCCTTGTGTAAGAAAACTGCAGCAAGTATTTTTTCAACTTTCTGCAGTAAAATTTGTCTGGAGATGGTTAACTCTGCACCCCCTCGGGACCATTGAAATTATGAAAAACATGTTGGATTCAGAATGGTTAGGGTTAATCATATTGCTAGTGAGACCTTTTCTACTGAAGTGGCCCAAGACTTACAAATGAATAGGAATTGCACTACTGGGAAATTTCAAGTTCTCAAATCGAAGGTTTTTTGTTATTGCAGATGTTCTAAATTGCCAAGTTGATGAATTTGACTGTGGCAAGTCCGTCTGTATCGATGGTTTCTGGGCTTGTGACTTAGTTCCCGACTGCCTGGATGGTGCCGATGAACTGAACTGTGGTAAGAATTACTGTTAATCTTGGCATCGATTTCGGTGGAGTAAGGGTTTGGTAATCCAATTAGTGGACCGTGTAAACGGTGGCCGCCTTTACAAAAGGCCGGCAGTATTACAGAGGAGAGTCGTTGGAACATTTACTTTCATTTCAGTTTCGATGTGGATGCCGCTTCACCTGTAACTCTGCATTCTTTGGGCGTGCTATATTATTTAAATCAACTACCTGTTTGCATTCTCAAAATTCGTATTAACTTGATTCACCTATTCATTGTATGTATAACATACATGGCAAGATGGAAGACGCTGACTCCCTTCACTGCTAAGCGGATTCTTTCAGCATAGATTTTGGGATTTTTTTTTAAAAAAGAAAAAACACGGACTCCCCAGTTGGATTATTTTATTCTCACCTGAACCCCCAAATCTTTAATCACAGATGGACACCGTAATGTGTTTGTCCCTGCCAACGGCAAGGATCGGATATTCTCGCCTCTTTACCCGGCAAACTACCCAAATAACATCATGGCGACCTGGACTATCTGGACAGAAGAGGACTGGAAAATTCTCCTCACCTTCGACACTTTCAACACCCAGGAAGAGGCGGACTTTTTCAGGGCCTGGGATGGTATCGACCCTTCCCAGGACGAGGACTTGTTGGTAGAATGGAGCGGAGTGGAGCCACCAGACGTGCTGTCCGTGGGCAAGGCAATGTCGCTTAATTTTACATCTGACGGCAATGTCTCCACCAGTGGTTTTTCTTTGATTGCACACAGTGTACAGCTATCAGGTAAGTCCCCTTTAAGTATCAAAGATCAACAGTAGAGTCCAAATGTTTCCATGTGGTCGTAACGAACGCTGACGGCTTGAAAGACGTTAGTCACACAAGTGACACTGTGTGACGTCAATCCACCAAAAAGTAAACAAAATAGCGTCCAAAACTCGGAACATTAATGTCCTTTTTAGGTGACAGTGACGCCTGCTAAAGCCAAATTGTTGTATTTGAACTTTGTTTATGGTCGGCTACTTCGTGGACGATTTGGGCTGCATACGTTATGTATTAGGAGAAAATGGGCAAAATGAGCAGTACTAAGGGAGAGGGACCGGTAAATCGTTGTACGTCCGTCATGCCAGGGTATGTGTCCGAGACTCAACGCAGACAGTAATGTTGGCAAAGTTGAACCTGACCCAATTTGCCCAATTGTCTGCGTGGACGTTTGCGTTGGTCACAGTCAAGTGTTTCCAAATGGTTGTGTATCCTCTGAAACCGATCGGCGATGCTCCCTGCGTCTCTTTACCTCGTTGTGGAAACCAGGCTTAACTTACCGACCAAGGAATCTGAATGGCAAAAAGTGTTTCGTGGTCAGGTATCTTGTCACCAGCTCGTGTGCGAGTGAGATATTCTGTTGGCATGACTTTGGTGTTTGCCCTTATACAGTGCATCAAGGGCAGTAAAAGCAGCAGGAGCCATTCAAAGCCATTTCTGTTTTAAACATGTCTTGATCAACAAGCATACGAGCCATCATATCCAACTCGTGGGAATTGTATGATCATTTCGCAAAGCGATTTTTGTGGATTCTACTGTATTACTGAGCACAAGTTGAACCAGATTTTCCTCACCGTTTCCAGTGTTACACTTTAATCAGTCGTCTTTCAAGAATGTACACGATTTCTAACATGACGTTTGTATTCCAAGTGAATTGCGTTAATTTGAAATGAGATGGAGTTGAATTTTACCTCTTCTTCACCTTGTCCTCGATTGGAAGTGTGCACGCTCATTGTACTGGCCTGGTTCTTTTTGCCTTTCAGCAAATGTGACTTGTTCGCCGCACGAATTTGACTGTGGATTCTTCCAGTGCGTCGAGACCAGTCTAGTTTGCGACCAGGAAAGAGACTGCTACAATGGGCGTGACGAGAGCGACTGCCAAGATGACAAAGATAAACCCGACGACGATGACGAAGACAAAGAATGAAAAGAAAAAACACAACAACAACAAATTTAGGGAATAATCAAAAGAGAGTTTCTCCTTGTAATGTAATCTTCTGGCGGGCAGTTTTGCGTACTAAGATGGGCTCCATTTCGCTCAGTCTATTAGCATATTATACACCATCTTGAAGGTATATAATTTTGAATCTGCTTAACTGAAGGTTTTAACGTATTCAGTTCTAGCCGTAGATGAGTAGTTTCTTCACTAGTCTAGTGGTGTGAAATGAGCATCGTTGATAATCAGCGTTGAGTTGATATTCCGTTTAATGAAATAATGAAGAAAAACTAAGATGGTCTACTATTTCCTTTGCACTCCCTGCTTTGTTGTGAAAATTGATGATGGGTAAGACGATATATTGTCAGATTTAGGAAAAAATCTGATTATATTATCACTGTATAATCATGCCCATCTGTTGATCAAAATATCTATTAGTATTGTGACAAAAAGTAAAATTGTATGATTTATTTTTTTGTGCCTTTTATGCCTCATGTTTTATTTTAGTTGGACAGAACGTTGATGTACAGGACTGCTCTTTATACCATTTGACCTGGTTCTAAACTTTGGGCTGTACCATTATTTCTCTAGTTCCATGCAATCGAGAAATAGAGATACCTCTATTTCGGAATAAATTGTCATTTTTGCGCGCCATGCGGATGTTTTTGCCTATATTTTGGGGTCCATCTGTTTCAGCCATTTTTCCGCTCTTGATTTGCATACTCCTAGTTCATGTGGCCAGGGTAATTTCTTGTCGTTGTTCCAGGTCTGTGTCTGGGAAGGGCCTCGCCCAAAATGGAACTGAGTTCTAGGTCGTTAAAAAATCAAAGTTTGAAACAGGGAGCAACGGTCTTAGTAATTCGATAAATTTAATTAAAGTTCTTATTTCCTATGTGTCACATAGTGATATTAAATCGGAATTACTCTTAAATTAATAATATCGTATAATCTTGGCCCTAAGAGTTGAAAAGATAAACGTGGTATTTAGTGGTGAAACCAAGATTTTATTTTCCTGAGCCGCCACCCCCAAACATTCCTGAAGTCAGTCAAGCTTACTAGAATCATGGCTGAGTGCCAGTTGAGTTGTTATTGGGAGATGTAGCCACTCATTCATTGATTTGAATAATGAATATTTATGAAGGGCAGCACGCAAAACATTCTGAGTTCTTTGGAATGAGGCGTGGCAGTGCTGGAATTTTTCCTTCGGGTTTAAACAGAAAAGATATGGGTTGATGTGATCAGTTCGTTCCTGGATTCCGAGGAGAGGGCAGCAGCCAGCCTGAATTACTTGTAGTCGTGAGTCAATGAGTTAGTCTTGAGTGACTTCTAATTATGGAAGTAGAATAAATTACATGTACGTTCAGACTGTTCTGAGAAGCGGAAAGCCAGGAAACGCCCAGTTCCTGTAAGTTAGCTATGTATAAATATGATATATTGGATATTTATTTTAGACATTTGTTCCTTTGGAAACCAGATATTGAGGCAGTGAAAATGAGATTCGCCGAGATATTGCATAAAATCCTAATTGGTCTAAGTAATTTGAGTTGAGCTTGTTGCAGCACTGAAACAATTTATCGTTATCTTGGAAGTTGACACAGTTCATAACACTTCAAGTTTATTAATGAATATTTGCGTTAAATGTAACTTGGCCAGAAAAACCAGAAACATGGGAATATGGTTGTAATTTTCAGGGTTTTACGTTAAGAGGAATAGGGAGTCGGTTGACCGGTGGTGACAAAAGGATTGGACCGCGGCGGCAGGACGCAGAAACTTGCCGAGTCAGCCACAGGCCACAGAAGCCGACTACAACGCAACTTGAAGAAACAGAAGCATCATGGTGGCGGGACATAGAGGCGCTCATCACCTCATTTGTATTGTAATCAAAAATGTCAAAATAAGAAATTATCCTTATTTTGTGTTCTTTTATAAATGAATGTAAATATTGTGCACTCAAAATAAATTTCCAGTAGCAAGTGTGTATATATTTGTGTCTAAGCTACCAAAGGTCTGTCCCTAAGGGAAGGACAACTCTAGGGGTGTGACACTACGCAATATTTTTGTAACTATACAAGTTGTTTTTGGAAATAAAGAGGACTTCAAAATGCCTTTTGTAGCTATGTGGCTGTCAGCCAGTTGTTTCACATTTGAATTGTTGATTTGATTGGTTCATTTTAGCTGTTATTACACAGGAGTAAAGGAAATCTACCTGAACGGTTTGACATCGTTCTTACTTGGGATTCAGGAGTGTTTTTTATTTTACAATTTATTTTTTGATATCGTTGATGATCATTTTAGTTTTACCTTGAGTATCATTGAACAAGTTGAGACGTCCGTTCTGTTTACAATACGGGCGATTCACAATAATGCGCCTCCAAGAGTTTGCGACGCGTTGGCCAATCACAACGTGCAGAATCTGTCGACCCTTTCCGAAAGCGCACTGGGTCGACAGATTTCGCACATTGGATTGACTAACGCGTTGCAAACTCTAGGAGGCGCACTATTGTTAAACGTCCGCGTTCACAAATGACATGCTTATCTTGTGATTTAACCAGCTAATAATGTTGTTATAAAGTACCAATCACTGGATAAGGTGAGTCTTTCGCAAATAGCCCGAGTAGCTGAAGGCACCATTAAAACAAAACAAACTACAGTAATGCTTTAAACGTTTGTTCGTCACTAATCTTTAAGAACCCTCGAGTCACATTCACTATGACCTACCATTATCTGGACTTCAGTGAATACAATAAATTTGAGTCAACAATATCAGGTAGGACCACAACCAAATTATTTTTAAACCATTACAAATCTTCCATAACTTGAACTTGCCTGCAAATTAATAACTGAATTAATTCGGAAAATCTATATGGGCGACCCTTTCCAAACGCGCATTGGGCCAACAGATTTCACGTTGGTTTCAACAGATTTTTGACCGTGCCGTGCCAGTTTGGTTGATCGGTTTCTTTGGCGTCGGTCGGTTGTGCGTGCTGCATCTCCACGTGCTTTAAGTTTTGATCGAATATGAAGATTTTTGTTTTACTTTACTCGTACCAAACTCAATGGACGGTCAAAACGGTCAAAGAAATATGAAAGGGCTTCGTCACACCGTGATCAGAATACTAATAAAAATATATCCAGTTAGTGTTCTTGATTTATGTTGAAGGGAAGGATTTCTTTTAAATGTTTACAGTCTGAAGGTGATGCCTTTACACACGCATTTCAAGAAAAACTCAGTGTTAAAGCTGGAGTTTTACAAAATAAATCATTGTTATGCATGGATTTTAGAAGTACTAATTTGAGGAGATCACGGCGAAGCGTGTGCATTATAAGCATGTTCGTGTGCAGGATTCACAGCAGGATAGAGCAGCAAAAATGGGAATTCTTTTCTAGAATCTCCATGAAACAAAGGGCTGGTGAGCACATTGAAAATAGAACGAATGCTTCTGTAACCAGGTCAGGTTTTCGTATTCTTTACTCTTATCTGACACCGGTTCCTGCAAATTTTTCTTCTGTTCTTAGTCACGCTCCACCTTTCTGTACGTGTACACAGTAGTGCTTGTACTGTGCGCGGCGGCGCTCCTTGGTATCGCTTGCGCGCAAATATTTATAGCGCCCTCTGATTTTTTTGTCACTGCGCGTTTCTCCAAAATTTAAGAATGTCCTTCTTTTGTTTAAATTGAATACCAGGCATTCATTGGCGTTGACTTGAATAGCGGGCATTCTTGGGTGTCAGCTGTGTACCGCGTATTCTTGCGCGTCGTTGAGTTAAATTGTAAAGTGACGCAGTAGCAGAAGGCTGATTTCATTCGAGCTACAACAGCTACCACACGTCGACCTGTTTGCTCGGGCATCTGCACAGACTATATGCAGCACTTGCTATCATTTCTGCCGCACATGAATCATAAAGGCGTGAACGGCCAGTCAGGGTGGTAAGTAGGACCTTCGAATAAAGTACCTGTACATAACTTTTTTATGCCGTTTCGAATAACAATTTCTTTTAGCCAAATGTCTAATCATAAACGTACGTCTGTCTAGCAAATGTCGAAACATAATGCTTCCCTTGATTGCCAAATGTAACAACTTTCCAACTTTTCTTACCCCGGGATAGGTGACCAAAGAGAGAAACAAATGCAACCGCTTTGTTATGGGAGAAAATTTACTCTGAAAAAAAATTCTTATCCAACCCTCCACGGGCGATCGAGCAGGTAGTATTGTACCAACTAACTTCGGGGCATCATATCTCTCGTATATAACTTGCATTCGAAAAAGTACCGTTAAATGATCAGTTTTTCTAATATGCGTGTACTTTATAATCTAGGAAATGGTTAGATTAAATAAATCCCCTGGATGTCTTTCATTTCTTTTCTTTTCTTTTTAAATTTTTTTTATGAACAGCGCGTTTCAGGGAGTGTGAAAGCTGGACACAAACCACGCAGCTCAGCTTTTACAGCACTTTCCGCTTCACTCTCCACCAAAAACCTTTTCATGCCTCACATTGCAAATACTAACAGGCGCTCTTACACTTACATGAGAAAGCAATTCTCTTTTTATGTACATGTACATGTCAGGAGAATTGATCATAACTGATGCAAATTTCATCGGATGTAACCTGCTTCAGCGTGATGGAATAGTGTCAATAGGGGTGCTGTTTGCTAAAAGTATTGTTGTTGGAACCAAAAGTAATGCACTGTTGAGCCCTTTGTTGGAACTTGGTTAGAACCAGTATTGCAGTTTCCGCTGTTACATACGGCAGAGGCTGACGCCCTTCACAATATTTTGTTAGGGAGTACGGGCATTGTACTTACATCCCACTGAGAGCCCATGTGAGGGCCATTTGCTGGACTTGAATCAAGTCGGACTTACGTTGCTCTTTCCCAGTCAGCCATCCCTTCGCATAACGTACAGTACACGGTCGTCCCGCTCGGCCGCTCGCATAACTTCTTACACGGCGCCCTCATTTGATAGCTTTTCCGCGATATCTGGCGTCAACGTCAAAGAGTGTACAACGTGTACCACCAGTCAGTAAATTCGACTTGACGGATAAGCCAATCAGAACCCTTCGGTCATATGAAGCTATTCATAATTGCATATGAACGACGTGATCTTGCATGGTATATACGGAATTCCACCAATCAAATTAGTCAGACTTGCAGACTCGTTCATTATAATACAGATATGAACGATGTAAGAACAAGTCCAGCGATTTGATTGGCTGCTACTCGTTTTGGTAAATGAGCTGATTCTCTGTGTACAAACGGCTGATAGATTCGTCAAGTCGGGATTTCTGAACTCACAGTAATAAGTGGACACAAGAGGACGGGAAGCACGTGACCACGCGCAGCCTCCATATCCAAAGCATAAACGCAGACGTCTCAAAAGATCCTGATTCGAGTCAAGGTTTATGGTGTTCTATAGGCAATAAAATCGCATGCCGCCGCCACGAAGCGTCGCTATAACTGCTCTATCCGAACGTAGTGTTGCCTCCTTTCTCATTACTTTTATACTGTGGTTAATGCGTTGCGTCGTGCCGTCGTGGCGTCGTGTAGTGCTGTCGTGCCATATTATCTCTTAATGCCATCGTGTTGTGCCGGCGCGTCTTGCCGTCGTCACGGCGTGCTGTCACGCTGTCGAGTCGCCTTTCATTGTATGGTTTTTATACTGTGTTGGTTAGGTTGTCACGTCTTACCATCGTGCTATCGCGTCCTGATGTCGTGCCGTCACGTCTTGTCGTCATCCGTCGTCTTGTGCCGTCGTGCCTTACTGTTTTTAAAACTGGCTGGTGATTATTATGGCCAACAGAGGGCGTATTTCACAAGTCCTGGAAAAATAATATGCGTGCATAGAGCAAACAAGATGTGATCATGTGATTGCATCTACTGGCATGGAACTAAGGGTGCCCCCTATTTCGACGGTAACATTCCTGTAATAAACCCTCTGAAAACAGTTCTGAGAAAAAGACTGCTTGCTAACTATACAGAATTTATGCCGGCAAATCTTTTGAAAATGCAAGATTTGTGTGTGTGTACAAATCAATGTAGCATTAATCTAGACACTCCAGAAGCAGCAAAATGCCCTTTTAATTAGGGAAACAAATGTCGAAAGGACAAAGCTGAGTATTGATAAAACAAGCTGTTTAGAAGTTCAATTGCATCACTTTCATTGAAGCAGAGTGATGTCGCAATTATACGAAGACTTGCATGCAAAAAAGAGCTTTTGTCAGAAATTGTATTGTTGGCCTGTCGCATTACCCCACCTGTATAATTTCAGCCTCTGTAGTTGAAACTGACCCGGTTAGACTGTGTCGGTGCGTCACGCATTGCCGATTCTTCTCTATTGGAGTGATAGTGACGCATGAACATTTAACGGCTCGCAGAATCATTGCTAAGCGTCTCTGCTCCGATTTGTGAAACCGGAGACTCCTTCCACAGAGAGATTAATACAGCCAATGCTGCTCTTTTGAGGGAAAAGACAGCACGAGGCTGTTAGCCTCACTTTGAGAAGCAACATGGGTAGTGTCTCTACCGACAGGAGTAACGTTAATTTAGTGAGATCTGATGCACTTCAGCGACAACATGGGGTAAGTTAGGTTTCAAGGATAAAGTGCGAGTCTGTAGCCAAACAAACGGGCATTTTCGTGTGCAGGAGGTTGCATTATGGGTGTTTGGCGGTCATTATGTGACGCAAGGAACGAACGGCGCGGCCCAAGATGCCACCTGTAAAACTCATCCTTTAAAGTGCTTTATCAGGTGATGAAAAGGCTTTTATAATCAGCGGACGACTGGTTCTCTAATGGATTTCTAACTAAAGTCATCAGACAAATCTATAACCAAAGTTAAAACACTTCAATGCAACGGGTAATTCCATCGAGTAGTCAAAACGAAAAGAATTGTGATTGACTCTAGTTGCATCATAATCGTCGAAAATATCTGGAAGGTCTTCATTTTTAAGTGAAATGAAGGGATTCACAATTCTCGATAATGCCTGCAATGCCCAGCATCCCCAGTTAATCTGCACTATGTTTTATACTTGTGCTGAAATCGACTCGCATGCATTTCGAATGAAATTCAATTAATATTCATTTGATAAACCACATAACAAGGAACCATCTTGCCAATTTAAGAATGACTTTTAATAGAGAGAGTGTTAAAGATTCTCCAGAAGTCGGGGAAAACGTAACAGCCCCGCTTTGATTATTTAATATATTGATCCACTGGACTGACGTTGGTTATTGATTGGCTGTATGGGCCTACATGGAAAGACCTTATCGGTTTGTGTCCATTAGGGTGATAAAGGGCATATTTTGTTGCGTCATGGGGCTCCGTCATTCTCACGTAATAAACAGAATAATAACTCACCGCAGAGAGTTAATATCTCGCCGTGGCGATAAGACA